CAATATTGAGGATTATTTCTTGCCACAGATTAAATTTACCATCCGTCCTTTAGTTTTACAACTCGTTTGTAAAGTCGCTGTATGGCTAATTTTGGGGCATGTATACAAGGTGGTCCGAACTGTATTACGGAAACATCGGCAGCATATTCTGCAGATAAAATTAAGTAAAAAAGTTCGTATACGTGTATGTCCTAAAGTGCTTAGTTTCAGAGATACAGGGTGTAGAAGTTTCATTTTTATTTCGATTTTTTCCAAATAATTTCTGAAGTAACGTCAATATTTGGATGAAAATTGGTGTCTAGGAGTTTTTTGAAAGGAGAAATTTGATTTTGATGTCAGTATGACTCCTACTGGTAGAGGGCGCCACCTACATATGTGTTAACTGTTTTGAAGAGTAATAACTTTTTGTCCGTACCTGTATAAAACTACAGAGGGAAAAAATATACATTTACGACATTTTCTACGTAAAAAATGTCTCTTGGTAAAAATCGCTACGAGTATTGGTTTTCGAGATATTTGGAATCGAAATTATCAATATCTGTCATCATTGACATAAATTAAACATGTTGACTAAATAGTTATTAGACTGAGATCATAAATTTGAAAGTTTTTGTGCCAAAAGTTCAACAGAAACTGTTTTATCGTCATTTTTTTGCAGAAAAATTTATGATTACATTAAAAAAATAAAAATTTCCCAAATTTATTATTTCAGTTCAGAAATAACTAGCTACTCAACGTGTTTATTTTTCGTCAATAATGACATGTATTGATTATTTCCATTCTAATTATCTTGAGAACGGTTACAAGTTAGAACAGTTAAGAAAATGAGATTTGGTATATTAGTACATGACATAAATTAAGATTGATGACGCATTCAATTGTTTTCGGTCACTTCCTGTTTCACCGGAAATGACTACAACTTTTGATTTTCAAATGGCACCCTAGGAATATCTCTACTTTATTCGATAGAAAATCACATTCTGATAGTAGTGAATGTAAATTAATTTTGTTACTTTATTCGAAAGAAAATAATACTCTGAATAGAATGACATATCATATGTCAACTTTTGACATTTTGGCATATGGTGTATTTGAAATTATAACTTGCGGTTCGTAATGAAAATTTGACTCGAAATACCATGTGTGGTATCAAATTATTCGTAAAAAATGCTTTTCCCAAATATACTAATGAGCCACCCTCGTTCCATTTGAAAAAATTGAGATATGATTAAAAATACGATTTGAGCATGTTCTAACTGGCCAGGACAGGGCGCTAAAAACATTAGACGATCAAATCTATTTTCCAAGGCTCCTTGATTAAGAATTAATGTTTTTAACATAGCCATGGCACTCTAGATTGAAATTTAAAATTCAATTTCGTTTTAAGCGAAAATGTCAAAAGTTGACATATGATATGTCATTATATTCAGAATGTCCTTCTCTCGGTCATTTTCTATCGAATAAAGTAAAAAAATACCGAGGGTGCCATTTAAAAATCAAAAGTTGTAGTCATTTCCGGTGAAACAGGAAGTGACCAAAAACAATTGAATACGTCAATCAATCCTAATTTATATGATATACTAACCTACCAAATCTCGTTTTTTTTATCTGAAGAAATAAAAAAGTTATAGGGGTGAGCCACTTTTGAGACGCACCCGGTATACATCTCTGCGACTTTTTACGCAAAAAATACTTATCTCTTTGTAAAAATCGCTGCGCGCAACCGTTCTCAAGATAATTAGAATGGAAATAATCAATACATGTCATTATTGACGAAAAATAAACACGTTGAGTAGCTAGTTATTTCAGTGAAATAATAAATTTGGAAAATTTTTATTTTTTTAATGTAATCATAAATTTTTCTGCAAAAAAATGACGATAAAACAGTTTCTGTTGAACTTTTGGCACAAAAACTTTCAAATTTATGATCTCAGTCTAATAACTATTTAGTCAACATGTTTAATTTATGTCAATGATGACAGATATTGATAATTTCGATTCCAAATATATCGAAAACCAATACTCGTAGCGATTTTTACCAAGAGACATTTTTTACATAAAAAACGTCGTAAATGTATATTTATTTACTCAGTAGTTCTATACAGGTACGGACGAAAAGTTATTATTCTTCAACCAGTTAAAAAATATGTAGGTGGCACCCTTTACTAGTAGGAGTCATATTGACATCAAAATCAAATTTCTCATGCCATAAAACTCCCAGACACCAATTTTCATACAAATATTGACGCAGTAAATAATTTCTGCAGTAATTATTTGAAAAAAATCGAAATAAAAATGAAACTTCTACACCCTGTATATCAGAAACTAAGCGTTTTAGGGCATACATTTATACGAACTTTTTTACTTATTTTGATCTGCAGAATATGCTGCCGAAGTTTCCGGAATACAGTTCGGACCAGCCTATATAAATATGTTATATCTTTATATTCACCAATATTCTTTGTGAATTTATTTAAAAAAATTGTATCTCACTGTAAATAGGCTATTACAATTACTTTTGTAAATCCACATATCGTTAGTAAATATTAATAAATTTAATAAAACACGTGTGTTTATAATTATAATATTTATTATAAAGGTTAATAGAAAGACACAAAACAGAACTTATTTTAGAGGTTCAAGTTAACGTCTCCTTTCTGCTGCAATGGCTAAACTGGACGGGACCTACTTTGTTTACGCGGAATCCGAACCGCGGTCCTCGGCCATATCATGGTCAATGGCCTACCGACTTAGGAAGTGTCTAAATTAACTCTTACTCACGAGATATCCGATCTCATCCGGCCTCGAACCGGCTTGAATGAGCAGTGTGTATCAATAGATTTTACACTTTTCCCTTGGCACGATGCAAAGTTTCGAACCGGTCACCCGTCCATCAACTAGCATCGCCTTACGTCGCTTAACTTCGGTGTTCTAATGGGAACCGGTGTTTCGACGTAGCTGGGCCGTTGCCCTAGAACTTATTTATGTAAGATACTTTTGCATCTCTTCTTAGAAGGATTTTTTGGCATGTTCCATTCCGGGACTGTCATTCCAGTCCAGAAACGTCGCACACCTAACCCATTCCAATAGTGTACACCAAGGACATCATTTTAAGTGTTTAAGTTAATGTAATTTTTCTCGAGGATGCCGATTTTCTACATTAATTTTTTTTAAAACGTCAATTTTGACAGATTCGACGCCATCTTGTTTTTTGTTAATGGAAATCCGCACATATTTTAGCATTGTTCGGTAGACATATTTTAGCTAATTTCAAAAATATATAGTTTAGTATACTTTGCATTTACCGTTTTCGATATACAGTGGATTTAAAAATGTTTTGTTCCAGAATCATTTTAAGTGTCTCACCATGTCTCACCCAATTTAAAATTTTCCTCTTTTCTATTTTAAGATAGTAAAAATATATTTTAATGTAATTTTTCGCCAGGATGCCGATTTTCTATATCAAATTTTTTTTTAAACATCAATTTTGACAGATACGCCGCCATCTTAATTTTTTTAAATGAGAACCCGCACATATTTTAGCATGGTCCGGTAGACATATTTTAGCTAATTTCAAAGATATATAGTTTAGTATATTTTGCATTTAGCATTTTCGATATACAGTGCATATAAAAATGAAATCTTTCAGAATTATTTTAAGCGACTCATCCAGTTTACAATTTTCGAATTTTTCAATTCTTGAAAATATCAAATTTTACAATTACGACGCTTAATTTTTTTATTTATTTATACTTTGATAGACGCAACGTCTTCTTCAATATGACGATGATATACAGGGTGGCGCCTCTCATACGCCGCGGAGGCTCCAAAGAGAACGACAGTTTGTATTGAAATGAAATTTTGTGAGCATATGTAGGTTAATTCAGAGCACTTTTTAAAAATATAGAGTTCTACAGGATTAGGTTAGATTAGGTTAGGTTTGGTTAGGCGCCATTTAAAAATCAAAATTTTTTTTTAAAACAATTAAATATGTCAATCAATCCTAATTTATGTCATATACCCAGATAGCACATTTACGTTCTTTTCATATGCGAAGCAAGTGACTTTGGAGAATAACAATGTTCTATTCACATTCCTTTTTCTCATTGGGAACATATATGGCACATGAACACCAGAGATTACGTTCCACCCTATTCAAGTGATATAGAAGTGCGTTTCACATTCCAATATATATTCTATGAACGTGAATTATATGTTCGTAAAAGAATGTATTTAAAAATAATATTCCAATTATATGATATTCATGTTTTTAATATTCTATATTTATGCTTTTCATATGTTTTTCATATTTTTTTATTATCTACAGAGGCAAAATAAAACACTAATTTACCACAATACACCAAAACACTTTACTTTTGCACAGGACGCGCGTTTCGCTAACCATGTTAGCATCATCAGCAGATGGTCAAAATTTAAGTTTTAATCATCTGCTGATGACGCTAAGATGATTAACCAAACAAGCGTCCAGTTCAAAAGTAAAGTGTTTTGGTATATTGTGGTGAATTAGTGTTTTAATTTGCTGTTGTAACACCAAAGATTCCAACCCTCAACTCTGTATCTACTGGGTGTCCTGTATAAGGATGCCCTGTATCAATATCCTATAAACTATAGATATAGATACAATTTTTTTCATATTTAGCAATTTTTTTATCTCTTAAAATCTATAGGATACCTATACAGTACATTCATATCTGGAACACACTACAAACAATTTGCTGAAATTAAATAATTTGGTGTGTAATAATCAAAAATTAACTAATAAATAGAACGGTTAAAAATAATAGGTAAGGATAAAGACGAACTTGAGTAATATATGTTTATTAATTAAAAATATTTTAATATAACGATATACATTGATATTATCTTCTATGTCTATGTTTCTATATTCTCTTGTCTACCCTTCTGAAATAATATCAGCAGAATTATACTGTTCAAATAATTTGCACAACTTACCTTGGTATTTTTTAATCTTTCTTTTGTTTTTTTACAAGCCATATTTTAATTATATTGATAATTTCGGTTTCTTTTGACTCTTGAAATTGACCTTTCATGGAGTCTAAAATATATGTTATTACAGTCTTTGCAACACCAAATATCTTTAAGTTCAAATACCTAAAATTGCTTTTGGCCACTAACAATGATTTCAAACTTCTCTTCTGTTTGGCCCCATCCAAGAATATTTTTGTGCAATTTCATTGCCCAGAACCTTATAAAGCATTTTCCTTGTACTTTGTGCTACTCCTGAACCACCAAGTCTAGATAATTCTCGAACCTAATAATTCTAAAAATACCTTTCTCTTAAAAATACACAATAAATGATTATAGAAGAGCCTACATAAATACCTATATAAATACTATATTGTAAGAAATTTCAGCACTGGAACTACACTTATCAGAACAGAAATCTTCAATGATACTACCAGAGATACTACTACTTTGATGATGTACAAAGGATAATAAAAAATCACTTTGGTCTGAATCCAGTTTAATGTACAATATTGAAGTCATATTTGCGTAACATTGACTTAATAAGATTTTGGCTCCTTTTTTTTTGGTTGAATTTTAAAATATTTTTAGTATAACCTATTTTTTCGAAGTCTCATGGTTTTAAATTCACTCACCTTAAAATAGATACTGAAAACACAAACATAACAAGAACTATTTTACCGATTCTATCCTTAAAATAATTATTTGCATCACTTATCTTTACGTTATCTCAGTGTTTTAATTATTAAAATAGTTTGGATGAAGCACGTTTACGTTTATAGTTCACTTGTTGTTTTTTTATTAGGTTATGTTATGGATGTACGATTCGAATCGATTTCAATCGAAGATCGATCTTTTTACCCAAAAAATTGATTAAAATCTATCGAGTTTTATCAAACTATCTTTTGGTATAATCGATCTTTTTATTTCATAATGGAAGATCGTTTTTATTTATACAGTTTTACAGGTTTATTTATTTGTTAGAATAAGAAACACTGTATTTTTGCTTGAATATTTGTTTACAGGGCATCTATATACACTAATATATAAAATCCCTAATTATTTAATACACAAAAACTTAATAGTAACTGATAGTAAGAAAATATACAAATATAATGTATTCTATTCATTTTTTCATTTCGAAATCATTTTTATTCTCCTGTATTTTTATTCAGATATTGATATGTTTAGAACGTGAATAGCAGATACTTAAAATTTATTGTAAACCATAATTTAAGAAGACATTCTAAGGTCATGCTGATAACATACCTTTAAATCACATTCGTAGTAGAATGTACTATTCATATGCCATACTTATTAAAAAAAGAATATACTTATAAGAACTTAGGAGGAATATTCTTAGAATGTAAATGTTCCTTTTGTGCTATCTGGGATACTAACATACCGAATCTCGTTTTTTTATCTGAAAAAATAAAAAAGTTATAGGGGTGAGTCACTTTTGAGACGCACCCGGTATACCCAAACAAATAACGTTTTTTCAAAACCTCTCTATTATTAACCTTCAAAAATTAATTTACGAAATATACAGGGTGGCGCCTCTCATACGCCGAAGAAGCTCTAAGGAGAACGGTTGTTTATATCGAAATGAAATTTTGGCAGCATATGTAGGTTAACTGAAAGCATTTTATAAAAATATATATAATTATACAGGGTGTCCCCAAAAAAATTTACACATCAAAGTTATGTTTTTTCTAATGGAACAAACACCCTATATATTAATTGATTTTCGGATTCTAGGAAAAAAACAAAGCTAAGTTTTATTAAAGAAGCATATACCTAAAATCTAAGGATTTTGACATATTTCACATTTTGTGAAAATAAAGAGTAAATTTTAAAATTCCGTAACAGCTACCTAAATTTTAGTTGACCTTGTATAGCCTGATATTTAATTACAGTAACCATTGTATGTTAAACCAAATTGAAATTTGAGCCGAAAAGTTATACAGGGTGAGACAAAATTAATATGGAACATTAGTCACTTTTAAAAGCAAGTTACTCCTTTATTTTAAATGGAAAACCCAGTATGTTATTCCGGTGTTCAATAGGGAATTTATATATCTTCAAAATATTATTAAGGTTGCCTACCCCTCAGACAAAGATTTTCCTAGATATTTCAATTTATGTGATTTTACGTCAGTAGATCTTTGTTATTTGAAAAAATCTAGGGTGGCTGTGATATACCTTGTGTTAATTTAACAAAAAATAAAGATAGTAGTAGTAAAATACTCAACGGTAATAAAAAGATACACGTTTAAAACATATTTTAAGTATTACACAATTAAAACTAGATATAAACCTATAATTATGTGACAAAAATTAGCTAAATGAAATCAAATGTTCAAAATGCATCCTTTCCTGTTAACTGCATAAAATGATTGTCCTTTCAAAAGGATCTTTTAATTTTAAAAGGCATTATGTGGAGCTCTACCTAGAAATGCAGCTAAAATAACTTTTCTCATGTTGTCCACAATAGTTGGTCGAGTTTTTTAAACACTGTCTTTAACATATCCCCATAAAAAAACCAGACTAGACAAAATCTGGTGCATTTAAGTAGTCTATTAATTGGTGAATGCACACTGCATTCACCAACTGATAGAATCATATCAATTCTCTCTGATTTAGTATAAGTTTGCATTTTCGGCAAATTTCTGAGAATTTTTTTGTTTTAAGTGACACAAAATGATAACTAGTTGTTAGAGTTGGATTAATTAGACAGCTATGTTGAAGTAGCGTCAGACATATCACAGCCACCTAGATTTTATCAAATAATAAAGATCTACCCAGATCAAATCATGTAAATAAAAATATCTAGGAAAATCTTTGTTTGGGAGGTAGGCAACCTTAATAGTATTTTGAAGAGACATGAATTCTCCATTAAATATCGGAATAATATACTGGGTGTTCCATTTAAAATAAAAGAGTAACATACTTTTAAAGGTGACCAATGTTCAATATTAATTTTGTCTCACCCTGTATAACTTTTTGGATCAAGTTTTAATTTGATTTAAAGTACAATAGTTAATTTAACTACACATTAGGCTATACCGGGTATATTCTAATTTAGGTAGCTTTTATTGTAACTTAAAATTGTTCTTTGTTTCTAGAAAATGTTAAATATGTCAAAAACCTTACATTTTAGTCATATACTTCTCTTATAAAACTCTCCTTTATTTTTCTTCCAGAATCCGAAAATCAATTAATATGTAGGGTGTTCCATTACAAAAAACACAACTTTGATATGTAACTTTTTTTAGGCACACCCTGTAGACCTCATCTATATTTTTAAAAAGTGCTCTTAATTAACCTACATATGCTCACAAAATTTCATTTCAATACAAACTGTCGTTCTCCTTGGAACCTCCGCGGCGTATGATAAGAGCCACCCTGTATTAAATGTATGTAGAATATTTCATGAACTAATATTATTTATGACCGTTAAAATCAAATTCCGTTTAAGCAGCATAAGCCTCTTGTTTATTTCCAAGACTAAACAAAATTATATAATTAACTCGCGTCCCAGTAAATTCAGTTACATCAACTCCCTAGAATCCTTGTAGCGTAAAGTTCAATTGTGATAAATACGTTTTATTATATTGTATTAGAGAAATACGTGATAAAGGTCAGTGCAAATGGGGAGCAGAAGTTTCGTTTCTGTCGACCCATTTCAAACCTATTATTAAAGTTATTAGAGAGGATTTTTTCGAAGAACTTTCTAAAAAAATGAATGGATAAGTATCTATAATTGCATTAAATTTTTCGCGAAGGAAAAATGTGAAAATTTATCATTTTCATGTCGATCGTATGTCAATTATATAAAGAATAAAAAATGTCCTTGATAGGTCAGTAAGCGAGGGTTTAAGTCCGGGGTCCGGACTTAAACTTATCATACCGTCCTATTGCTGCCAAAAGTCACTAACTAACATTTTTCCAAACAACCAAATTCAATCACTAACTATGTTTTGAATCGGAGAATCGATTGCAAATGTCATTAACTACGATTTCAGGCTATTTATGTTTTATTTTAATACTGAATAGTTACTAACTATAACATCTTTAAGCAATGCAATTCATCTTTAGACGCATTTTTCTCGGAAGTAATAAAAAGTAAGTTAGTGACTTTTGGCAGCAATGGGACGATATTATATTTTATGACCTCTGTATGACTATTGGAATTTGTTTATTATTGTGATTGTAATTATTTTAGCTTTCTTGGGCCTGAATATGGGAATTGTTAAGTCCCGAAACATGTCGCCCCTTTCTTTTTTTGAAGCAAATTAAATTTAAATAAACATCTTAAAAGATTGTGAGTTTTTTGTCCCCTACCCCTCGTCAGATGTTCTACTTTGATATGTACGCACACTGGGTTGGAGAACGTTTTGTTTTTAATTTGTTATTTACTAATAATCCCAAGCAACACAGTTCAGGAGTATATACGTTTAATAAACGTACTATCCGTATAAATATCGTATATTTTTTAAAGGTATAAATAATATACGTAAATTATATTTCTCCGAACGTTGAGCGTGTTTTAAAAATATAACTTTATTGAGAAGGTAGGTAATACAGTACTAAAGTTTAACACAGGATCGTGAACAAGATTGATTATATATAGGGATTACAAGCTTTTATATATAATTTAATGTTAACATAAGCATAAAACTATTCTAGAATATGGGTGGCTTCGTTGGCAGCTTCCATTCATGGGATGCCCATAACTCGTATCTCATATTACTTTTTTATATGCAACGTATAGTATACGCATATTAAAGGGCTTTATTTTCCGTTAATCTTAGTATATACGTTTATTATACTGAACATTATTATACTGCTTTTTAACGTATATTCGAAACATATATTTTGAGTATAATATTTCGATTTTGGCACCAAGTCAGTTATATTCGTAATTTTTGAAAAGTTCAGACACAAAGGGCGTAGTAAGTCATTATCAAACTGTTTTTTGTGATTTTTTCATAAATTTGAACTCCAATATAAAAATATTGAAAAGAACTGAATTTCAAAAACGTATATAACCAGTATCAATAAACTGTATAGAAATGGTATATAGACTACATTATACAAAACGTTTATTCGACACTATAAAATCTAGTCACGTGATTAGATCTACCAATCATATCGTTAGACTTTTTACAGCAGATGGAATCTA